GTGCAGGCTCACTTTATCGAGGACAGTATTTCACCAAAAAAATTGGGGAATCTACAACTCTAGAGTTCTCCAAAGTCAACCAAGGAAAAAGTAACTTGAATTTAACCGCATTTAAAACCACTTAGTATCGACGCCTACAACACTAGCAGCATAGGAAAATTTACACAGCAGGAGATGGCTGGGGAATTTTTTTTTTTGAGACGGAGTTTCGCTCTTGTTACCCAGGCTGGAGTGCAATGGCGCGATCTCGGCTCACCGCAACCTCCGCCTCCTGGGTTCAGGCAAGTCTCCTGCCTCAACCTCCTGAGTAGCTGGGATTACAGACACGCGCCACCATGCCCAGCTAATGTTTTGTATTTTTAGTAGAGACGGGGTTTCACCATGTTGACCAGGATGGTCTCGATCTCTTGACCTCGTGATCCACCCGCCTAGGCCTCCCAAAGTGCTGGGATTACAGGTGTGAGCCACCGCGCCCGGCCGGGAATTTTTTTTTTAAGACAGGGTCTCGCTCTGTTGCTCAGGCCGGAGTGCAGTGGCTCGACCACCGCTCACTGTGGCCTCGACCGCTTGGGCTCCAGTAATCCTCCCACCTCAGCCTCCCAAGTAGGTGGGACCACAGGTGCCACCACGCCAAGCCCGTATATAGTTTTTAAATAAGGCAAAATGCAAAAAATGTTGCTAGACAGTGTTCGCTGGTTTGGGCCATCAATGGGAGCGGCTCCAGTGTCCGTCTAGATGATCAGATGCCCAGCACAGTCCTCAGCAAGGCTGCACGGCAGGCACACGGCAGCCGCTGATCCACGGGCTTATGGGAGTGGAAACGGCTTTCAACTCGGCCGCGAGCCTGGGCGTTCTGACCCGCTAGAGCTCGGGGCGAGGGACCCCACCCCGGTGCCTAGAGCGCCTCCAGGCGCCTGCCGTAGACGGCGTGGGCCAGCGCTAGTGGCCCGACAAGCACTCAACCGGCTCCTGCACCTTTTCTTACTTCTCGCTGTTTCTTCAAGTTACTTCTACCCTGCGAGCCTGCCCGCCCGCCAATCGTCACTTCCGGCGGGTGCTCAGCATCATTTACGTCGTCACTTCCTGTCGATGCCGGTGTGGACGCCGTGAATCGTGGCTGGGTCGGTTCTCCGCTTCTCCCCATCCCCTACTTTCCTCCCTCCCTCCCTTTCCCTCCCTCGTCGACGGTTGCTCGCCCGTCGCAGACTCCCTGACCCCTCCCTCACCCCTTCCTAACCTCCGTGCCACCGGATTGCCCTCCTTTTCCTGTTTCCCAGCCCAGCCCCAGTGTCAGGGCGGGGGCCTGGAGGAGCCAGAGGCGCTGCAGCAGACGAGAGAAAAGACAACGACGACCCTCGGCTCGCCAGTCCGGTCGCTGGGTTCGCCGCCGCCATGGCAATGAGACAGACTCCGCTCACCTGCTCTGGCCACACGCGGCCCGTAGTTGATTTGGCCTTCAGTGGCATCACGCCTTATGGGTATTTCTTAATCAGCGCTTGCAAAGGTGAGCAAGGCCTCTGATCCTCGTCCCCAACGGCTGGGACTGGGCTGAAAGGGATTGGGACCCGCAAGCTCCAGTGCTGAAGCGCGGGGTGGGGGCGGGGGGGCGGGGAGGGAACGCTGTTAACCTCTGAAGTGAGGGCCAACACTGGAGGTCCGGTGGAGAAAGCAGTGTGTTGGAGAATCCGCAACTGGAGCTGAGAGGCCTCTGGACGCTTTTGTAGAGACTATTACCTCCAACTAAGATCTCTCTCCTTGTTTTCTTTTTATTGCTATTTTTGGAGGAGCTGGACAGCACTTGCCTAGACTCTCGGGACAACGTTGTAAATAGCTTTCAAGGATTTGGAAAGGAGAAATTAGGCCAGGCCGTACAATACCTTATGAAGACGTTCGCTCTTGTCTCACTGGATATTCCTTTGTGGCATTAGCCTCATTTTCAAATGGGAAACTGAGATTTAGGTTAAGATGTTTGTCCAAATTAAGACTCAAGTCTAGATTGTTTTGACGCAGATCAGTATTCCCACCGAATTACAGATGCTTTTCAGAGAGAATGATCTGTTCAGCTCTTCAGTTAATTTATTTCTGGACATTCCTTAGTGACTTCAGTGGGCGGTTAAATAGCTGAAATAATTTTTCCACTTTGTCATTGAACATCATTGTATATTTACATTTGAATCTTAGACTTTAATCTGAACTTTAAATCACATGTTTTAAAAAATATTTTCTAGATGGTAAACCTATGCTACGCCAGGGAGATACAGGAGACTGGATTGGAACATTTTTGGGTCATAAAGGTGCTGTTTGGGGTGCAACACTGAATAAGGATGCCACCAAAGCAGCTACAGCAGCTGCAGATTTCACAGCGTAAGTGTAGCCAAGATGGCTAACGTTGGTGTTCTCTGTAGATTGTGTCCAGAAATAATGAAAAACTTCAACCTCAGATATTCATAAAATTCTGAATCACTGGCTGCCATGTGGAATGCCAGATGTTTGAGCTCATCAAAATTCCATTGTGGTCCTGTGTGCTTCTTTGTTTTCAGTGGTTCTCAAAATTTTCAGAGGCTTAAATGACTTATTCCTTATGTTTTGATTAAGACTCAGGAATCTGCGTTAACAAACACTCCAGATAATGATTGTTGATCTCCTTTATGAATGCTGCTCTGTATGTACTCCTTAGTGATATTATCCTACATGGATGGCCTTAGGTTTTTATTTCAATCCCAGTTTTTGTTAACTGGCTTTAGGCTTTTTGACACTCATCGTGTCAAACAAACAAACAAAAAACTCAACTTCTCTTCATTTCCTAAGTTTTGAAAGGTTGAAATGTAAAGCATTCTTGATTTTCCCTTACATCTAGATTATCATCATTTTTTGAGTTTTCCAGTGGGATGTCTCTTGATTACAGTGTTCCTCCATGTAGTATCTGCTGCCTTAGTTCAGGATCATTTTTAACTTTCTTCCAGTAGTTTCTTTTCCTCCTTTTCGTATTCCATATTGCTGTCAGTTGTTTTCCTAAAAACATATTTGATCATGTCACTTCTCTACCTAATGATTTTCCTGTCTTCCCTTTGCAATTTTAGTATTTCATGACCTTTGGTATACATTAGAATACTAGGAGAGCTTTTCAAATATTCAAATGTATGTGTCCCAGAAATTCGGATTAAAAATTTTTTTTTGGCTTTTTACTATATGTGTGTGTGTGTGTGTGTGTGTGTGTGTGTGTGTGTGTGTAGTGTGTGTATTTATACTTTTTGCTACATGCAAAAATATTTTTTAATACTTTTTACTGTACAGACACTAGCTGTGTTTCCCAGGCTGTCTTAAAACTCTTGGCCTCCATGCCTCAGCCTCTCAAAGAGCTGGGATTACAGGGGTGAACTACCATGCCTGGCACAGAAGTTCTGGTTTGATTAGGCTGAGGATGGAGTACTGAATACTGATCATTGGTGGTCTTTTTTCTTTCTTTTCTTTCCTATGTGCAGCCTTAGAATCGCTGACCTGAAGGACACACTTCAGTTGTTGACACTTTACAGTTTGCTTCTTCCTAGTTCATCAGCATTATCTTCTGGCCCTGCACACCACAAACCCTGCAATCTAGTTATACTAAACTTATTGTTGCCAGAATATACCTTACCTGTTCTGACTTTTGACTGTTAATTATGTTATTAAACTGACTTGCAGTGGCCCTCTTTGCCTTTTTTGGGAATGTATCATATTTTATAAATCTTGCTATCTCCAGTTCCTACTTGGTATTTGTAACTTAGGAATTTGACACTTCATTGTTTAAACTGATGAAGGTAATATCAAGAACTGTTGTACATACACAGGTTTATTAGACTTAAGAGGCTAGAGAGTGCAAGTATTATTGATTATTTATTTATCTATTTATTTTTGAGCAAGAGTCTCGCTCTGTGCCCAGGCTGAAGTGCAGTGGCGTGATCTCAGCTCACTGCAATCTCTGCCTCCCAGGTTTCAAGTGATTCTCCCGCCTCAGCCTCCTAAGTAGCTGAGACTACAGGTGCCTGCCACCACATGTGGCTAGTTTTTGTATTGTCAATAGAGACGGAATTTTGCTGTGTTGGCCAGGCTGGTCTCGAACTCCTGACCTAAAGTGATCTGCCTATCTTGACCTCCCAAAGTGCTGGGATTACGGGTATGAGAGCCATCGTTCCTGGCCTTTATTTATTTTTTTAACAGAATCTCACACTAAGGAGTAATTGTAAATGTGCTGCCTCCTTCATTTTAGGTAAATTAAACATACCAGTTGTAGAATGAAAAAAATCAAGGTAGATTGATTTTAGTGGTGGATACAGACTGTATGCTCTTCTTTGTTGAAACAGCATTGTTTTTATGCTTTCTTAACATTTCAAGTCTCAATGTCTGTGTTTACAAGTGGTATTAAGAGCATGAAGGTTAGAGCCAGATGACTTGTATTTGAATTGGTGACCTCAGACACTTTATTTAACCTTTCTTTTTCTTTCATGGTACCTACCTCATTGGTTCGTTATGAATATTAAATAATATGTTTCAGATACTTAGAACATTGCCTGAAGTCTATTAAGTCTATGAAAGTGTTACATATGTAAAGTAACAATGATAGCTACCACTAAACTATTACCACCCACACTTGATCAAAATCATATATTATTTTGAAACTAATATGGCTAAAGCCTTGAAACATTTGGTTCATATAAGGAAGGTTGAGTGGATTTAAATGTCAAGAAAGAAGATTTTTGTGATTTTTTTTTTTCTTCTTCTCAGTTAAGGCTTTAGGTGCTGTGTTAGAGTGGAAAATAATAACAAACATTGGCGCTAGTGGGGCATGCATTCATGTGCTTAACTATGCTGTGTATTTCCAGTTTGATCATCATAGGATTTCTTGTTTGTTTTTTTGAAACAGGGTCTTAGGTGCCTAGGCTGGAGTGCAATGGCGTGATCATAGCTCACTGCAGCCTCTACCTCCCAGTCTCAAGCAGTCCTCCAACCTCAGCCTCCTGAGTAGTGACCACAGGCATGTACTACTGTGCTTGGCTAATCTTTGTATTTTTTGTAGAGACAGGGCTTTGCCATGTTGTCCAGGTTGGTGTTGAACACCTGGGCTCAAGCGATCTGCCCACCATGGCAGGATGTTTCTTAAACCTCGATTTTCTGTAAAATGGGACTAAGACCCATGAGATTATTGGAGAAACAGAGAGATCTTTCTCCACCATATATCCCTGAAGTCCAATATGATCTTTGTCACATAGTAGGTACTCAGTAAATGCTAGTTGAGATTTATTCCTCATTTCTCTATGTCTTGTCTATGGGGTATAAGAATGTGTTTTCGTGTTTGTGTGTGTGTGTGTGTGTGTGTGTGTATTCCAAATGCCAGTTGAGATTTATCCTTCATTTCCTCTATGTCTTGTCTGTGGGGTATAGGAATGTGTTTTCGTGTGTGTGTGTGTGTGTGTGTGTGTGTGTGTGTCCCAAGAAGTTCCTCCCACAGCCTACCTGAGTAGTCATAGTTGGTACAAAGCATTTCTAGAAACATCTTTTTTTTCCTTCACTCTTAAATTTCTTGGAAAACTCATTTATGTTGTGGTTATCTAGAAGTGGATTTTGGTCCTGTTTCTTGGGGAGAAATTCAGCAGAATAGGTCTGTGGACTATTGTAGCATGTTATCTTAAGAATTTGGGCAATTGAGCCCAGTGTTGAGTACAGTGTCCCCAAAACACCATCTTTGTATCTGTTTGGGAAGAGTGCCAAAATAAAGACAGTTCTGTGCTGTGCTGCCAAGAGTGCTTAAGTAGATCTGCGATTGGGCCCAGGGGTTTATAGGTAATCAAAGTATATCACTCTTTCTTGTAAAGCCAATAGAAATGTCTAATTTTAATTTTAATAAGGTTTTTGACAAATCAAAAATGGTATCTCCTAGATGACTTGGTCAACATGTTAAGGTAGAGGTTGCAGTAAGCCAGGATCACACCATTGCACTCCAGCCTGGGTGAAAAGAACGAAACTCTGTCAAAAATAAAAAATAGTACAATGAGACATAATAAGTTGTCATTAGTTTAAAATAATGGATTATAAGACAGTATTTGCAAACCTCATGGTAACCTCAAAGCAAAAAACATACGATAGAGCTGGGCATGGTGGCTCATGCCTGTAATTCCAGCACTTTGGGAGACCGAGCTGGGAGGATCACTTGAGCCCAGAAAAAAAAAAGAAAAAATGTTAAGGTAGTTAGGCAATTTTTAAAAAATCTTAAATGGGTTTAAATAAGCAAGTTAAGCAGCTCCTATTATGAGACTTATGGTAAGTTCATTCTGAGGATACAAAAAGTTAATCAGACAAGATTATGTGCAAGAAACTGGGGCTATAAGAGGTATCAGTAGTTTGAGGAGATGACAAGTACTTCATGAGATGTGAGGAAAATAAGTGTTGGAGGGTTAGCTGCTGAAAGGACATTGTTAATGGCGCTTTACTGTCTTGATTTGAGGTCTGCTGCCAACTAATACATATCAGTTTCTTTCCTGGAGATTGAATAATACATTAGTAAATATTTAGGTTAGATGCATTTTAGGACTCTTAACTGTGAATAATGGAAATATGTCAGAGTTAGTACATGCCCTATTAGAAAATATCATGCCTCTATTTTAGTACTAAAATAAATCCTGTTTCTAAATACGAGACATCCTGTTTCTAAATAGGAGGAAAAACTACAGACACATTACTTCTTGTTAATATTACTACTTTGGTCACTCCAACTCTGTCCTCACCAGTGAATAGACACAGTCTAAGCAGATCTTAAGATTTTAGAGCTGGCATGATGGCATTAGACTGTAGCTACTTAGGTGACAGAGGTAGAAGGATCTTGAGACCAGGAGTTCAAATGTAGCTTGGGCAATATAGCAAGACTCTGTCTCTAAAAAAAGAGGTTTTAAGCTTACGGAAGATTACTTAATATGCTTGAAATTAGCATATATAAAGATATTGCCCAGATTTCTTTTGAGACTTGTGAATAACTAAAATAGTAATTTTAGATACATTTGTTGTTTTCTTCACTTTTGATGCCTCTGTCATTCTAATACTTGTGAACTCTTAACACAACCATGAAGTGCATTTCCCTGTGATTAAGGATATATGTAAACAAAACACAAGGCAAAATTAAGCATAGTAATAAGTGTAAGTGGAGTTCTGTGGCAGAGCAGAAAGGAATGGTTAATTACTGGAGTTGAGAATAAATAGGTTTAAAGAAAAGATAGCATTTGAAATGAGCCCTGAGAGTGAGTAGAACTTTAATAGCTAAGAATGTAAAATACAGACTTAAGAGAACAATATGAATAAGAACATAGGAGCCTAGAAGAAAATACATAAGTTATTTGAAGAATAGTTTATAATTTGATGTGGCTAGATTCAGAGAAACAATACAAAATGAGGTTGCGGGGGCAGAGAGTTGTATTGGAATGAGAGAGAGAGGAGCAGGTTTCCTGTGCAAAGAGAAATGAATACTGGGGAGTTTACTAGCAAAATTACTTATAGTTGTCATTATTTCTTTTAAAACGTATTTATTCAGCCACTCATGTGACCCACATTATTATAATAGTGCAAGCTTTGGTAGTGTATCATCAGAATTCCTGTTAGATGGTCTCGTATTTATTAACCACACTACACATGCTATTAATGCTTATCTGGATTTTCCCTTCTTTTCCTCCTGATACATTTCTCTTTGCTTCTTCAGATGGCTAGCTCTGTTACATAGATTTTCTGGACAATATCTAAGTGCTTTTTTTTTTTAGTTTTTATAGCCATATATATTTGTCTTTTAATTATATTTCTTAACTGTGTTATTTAATGCATGTTTTTCTCCTCAGCTAAAGCTCTGCTAGGGCAGGAACCTACTGCGGGATGTTTTTTGTCTCCCATTTGTGCCTTAGCACTAAGTTTAGAATGATACATCTTTAATATACTTTATTATGTATTTATTAGGTAGACAAAGGAAAAGATATTTCTTGCTTTTCTCTGCTTTTTTTCCGCCTCTACCATTTTATTTCCCACTGTGTTCCTAAAAATAAATACCAATTGCATTCAAGTGGAAATCTCTGTGGAACACAGCTTCTTTACTCTTAGCAATTCTTTTCCCTGTCTGCAAAGTTTTCTTGTTGATTTTTCACTGACCTGTTCTGATCTAAAATCAACTTTTTTTTTTCCTTATTTAAGCTTTTTTATTTGGGGGAACCCTTTTAGAGTAATTTTGTAAAGCATTTTTCAACTATTACGTGCCTGGAATATACACACATACATGTATGTATACCTACAACCACCAGGTATTTTGAGGCGGGGTGGGTCAGAAAAAACGAATGTAAATATTAAAATTATCTTACAGCATTTAATCAAAGGCTGATACTTTGGGGGAAGTTAACTGTACTACAGTATGAAAATTTAAGTCAGCTTTGAAGAAAAGATGAGGTGGGAATTGTCTCTCCACTATCTTAATTTAAAATTTTACTTAACCTGTACAAAGGGTTTTCATTCCCCTGTAAAATTTTTAATGATTTCTGTTTATTTTTTATTTTTTGTTGTGCATTTGAATGGAAATAGAGAGAAAATTGGCATGGTGAAACTAAAAATTGTTTAAAATACATTACATGCTTGCTAAAGGGATATTATGGCTATCAGCTAAAATAAAAGTAGGATGGGTTGGTTCATGAATCTTACTTAAATTGTTAATATCTTTTCTACTGTCAAAGAAAATTAGATTAGTTATAAAGTCTTTACAGAGAAATTTCTTTTCCCTTAAGCTTGTTTAAATATTTTATCAAATGAAGCCTGTGAGGGATATTAGAGTTAAAGGAGGTTTATAATACATTTATGTAACATTTCATATATCAAACTTATTTGGTACTCATCAATATTATAATTGTATTTATACTTTTAATGTATTAATATTGAGTAAGATTTATCCTACTAATTTTCCTTTTTTACTTTTAGCAAAGTGTGGGATGCTGTCTCAGGAGATGAATTGATGACCCTGGCTCATAAACACATTGTCAAGACTGTTGATTTCACACAGGTACCAGAAAATGAAATTTATTTTAGCGAGTTAAGTTCCTATTATACAGTGTGATAATGCTTTTATATTTGATTGGTGCGTATATTTGATTTATACATTTTGTGTGGAATATTTGTTATTTCTTGGTTCATATTTGATTTGATTGTATATGAAGTTCTATGAATTTGTTTCATGGTTAATCCTGTCAAGCTTTTAAGATAACGGTGGAACAAGTACCAGTCCTTCAATAATAGCAAAAAACATCTGAAAAGCTCAGTAACCTTTCCCAACTACTTATAGAAGGGAGAAGATAAATATGAAGTAATCACAAAAGGACCTCTCAGGAGGGAGAAGAGTAGGATCGGGCAGAATGAAATAATTCACCTATATGTAGTGTAGTGTGACATTTTGGTCTGGAAAGCTTAAAAGGCTTGGCAGTTACAAGAAGGGCAGCTGTTCCACCGCTTCTTTCAGAAGTAATTGGTTATGTCCTGCATCTCTTTGTAATGTCTGTGAGCTAGATTTTGATTTTATTTGGTGTTGAAGAAGTTTGAAAGAGAAATAACTATTAAAATGGTTACTCTCTTAACGTTTTACTTTGTGTTTTCAGGATAGTAATTATTTGTTAACCGGGGGACAGGATAAACTGTTACGCATCTATGACTTAAACAAACCTGAAGCAGGTAAGCATAATTTATGCATCACCTTGTAGTTTTATTTCCTTTTAATTTAAATAACTGATTAAAGGATTTCATGCTCAGTACTCAAATTTGAAAAATATAATCAGAAAGAAGAAAATTAAAACATAATTCATCAGTTTTTGGTTTATAAACTTTGTCTTTTTTTTCCCTGCACAGTTTTTAAAAAATGAGTTCGCTACGTTGCTCTTGTATAACCTTCTTCCAAATTGAAAATTTATTGTGGCGAATTTTTACCATTAAGTTTTAAAACAGTGCAGAACAGTGTTACTATTTCTTGGTACAAAAGAGTGGTTACTTATATAGAGAGTGGTGATGGTGAGAATTCTCAGTTGTACACATATTGCCTAGATTTTTGAAGCATGTAAATATATTAGCTATTCAAAAGAATTTTTAAAAATCTGCAATGACAGTTTTTTTCACGTCACTAAATAGTCTATGAGCTATTTGTAAGGACTTTCTGGTTTTCCATCCTGTGGATATATCATCGGTGAATTAACTAGTTTCCTGTTTTGGCCTGTTTGGGCTATTTACAAATTTTAAATATTAAAAGCAGTATTTTTGCTAAATATCCTTGTAGTTGCAAATATTTTCACAATGATTTCTTTATGATAATTAAGCAAAAGTAGAATTGGTGGGACAAAGAGGAGTAGAATTGTTGGAACGTGGCTGGGCACAGTGGCTCACGCCTGTAATCCCAGCACTTTGGGAGGCCGAGGCTAGCAGATCACCTGCGGTCAGGAGTTTGATACCAGCCTGGCCAACATGGTGAAACCCCGTCTCTACTAAAAGTACAAAAAAATTAGCTGGGCATGATGGTGGGCACCTGTAATTCCCAGCTACCTGGTAGGCTGAGACAGGAGCATACTTTGAACCTGGGAGGCAGAGGTTGCAGTGAACCGAGATCATGACATTGTACTCCAGGCTAGGGTACAAGAGTGAAACTCCTCAAAAAAAAAAAAATGAATTGTTGGAAGCCATTGATAGATACTACCAAAATGTCTCCAACAAAGTATAAGTGTATATATATGTATCTATACCCAACATGTTTTAGTAAACACTGGTAACTAACTTTATCTTTGTCAATTTAGTAGAAGAAAATAATTCTGTGGTATCAATATGAATATTCATGAGATTAAAATGATGTTGAATACCATTTTAATGTACTTCCTTCTTTATGAAATAACTGCCTGTCTATACCGTTTGCCTATTTATCTCTTGTGTTATTCATGTTTTTCTTACTGGTTTTTAAAGTTTCTTTATTGAATTCTAATTTATCATTTGCTTTTAAATTTTGTTAAGGTGGTTTTATGGTATATACGTTTTAAAAATTTTGATGATGAAATCCTTTATGCATTCTCTGATTTTACAAAAACATGGGTATCTTCCCCTGTCCACATATTCACCTTTATTTTATAATATTTTAATCATTTCCCTCACCATATGTATACTTAGCTATCAAAACATGGCAGTCATAATTTTGTTTTATTATATATTTGGTATCTTTCAAATTTGATTATGTGGGCATTTATGTAGTCATAAATCTATAAAATTTAAGAGAATCAGAACTGCATTGAAAAGTAAGCAGTTATTCTGTTGAGATACCTTCCATTTCTGAGAGCTTTTAAAAATATTTTACATTTTTAAAATATCTTATTTTAACTAAGTGTTAGGGTAGTTTGTTATGAAAACATTTTTAAGATGAGGAAACAAACTGCATTTACAGATTTTTTTAATTCTCCATTGTATGTAGGAGTTTTTTCTCCTTTCTTTTTTGATAAATGTATGCCAAAACATAGCAAAATACTCTGACCTCATTTAATCTGTGACCTCATTCAACAAAGTAAGATGGTTCAGGGATTGGGTGGACATTTTTCATCTCTTTACCTTTCCCAAAGCTGCTTTTTGAAAGTTACGCTTTCACTGCTTTCACTGTTCTAGTAGCAGAAATGATAGCAACTTCCTGAGGTTTTACTGTGTATCAGGCATCTGTTAAGCACTATTCTCATTTGTAACCATTGTTATTTCATTTTAGAGAAAGGAAATATAGTTAAAAAGTTAAGTAACATGCCCAAAGGTGAAAATAGTGTTGAATGGCATTGCCTCCAGTGTTTGCTTTAGTTCCCAGAGGCAGCAGTGAAGGTTTTTTGAAGTCCTTTGAAAGGATAATTTACAGATTCAAGCTCCCATCCTTTTTTTTTATGCTTTCCTCACAGTGTAGAAACATTTTCTTTGCTGTCCTGCTATTTCCCTTTTCCTTCCAACCCTTATTTCCCGTTAGTTACTACCAATAGCTGCTTGAATGAAGGTCCCAGAGTTAGCATTAGTGCTAAAATCAGTTTAAACTGTCTTGTTCCTGGGTCCAAGTTCTTATTAAATTATGCCACATTAATTATTCTTTTATTTCATGGCAATAGAATATGCTTTTGACTATTATCAGTTGTGCAGTAAATTAGCCTAGAGGGAGTGAGTCCTGCATTCACTCAGCTACATGTTGCAAGTGCGGTAGTTCCTTTGGTCTCTGTCATGCAGGTAAGTTTATGTTCCAATATAGAAAAACTAAGTGTATTCTGTATAAACATCAAGTTTGAATTGGGCTGGGCTTTGAAAAGTTGCAGTCTAATTTAAAATGTGTGTTTAAAAAATATATAATTGTTCCAATTTTGTTCAGTTTAAAAAATCACATATTAACAAATGTG